AGTACCACCAGGTATGCCAATAAGATTTCAGCTCAGTCTCTGCCCTGGGAAGCCTACACTAAATGCCAAGTAAGAGATTGAACTCTGTGCCAGAGGAGTTGGGGGGCAGCGGGGGAGGGCTCCCTCTAAGTCAGTGAGTTGGGGATGCATAAGACTTGAACAGAGAACCCGGGGGAGCAATGTATCCAGAAGGGCCCAGCATAAGCCGCTGGAATAAGATGGAACACTTGTCAAATTCATCGGCCATATTTGTCAGAGGACAGACTGCTCTCTGGTTTGTTGTCATATCAGTGCACGAGAAAGGGAAGTTTTCTCATCTTGAATGTGGATTGGGGAAATTGAGGTCTGTTTCTAGGACTCGGGGAATCAGCGCTATCTGATATTCCCGATACTTTGCTGGAAGTACTTGCCAAGCTTCCTCTTTGAGCACAAAGGGGATTTTAAGAGACAATGATTGGGGCTTTCACATATTTATGTTTTAAAAACTAGACTCCTTAGGTGGAAAAACCCTATGAGATCACCTCTCCGCTCTACCTGACCTGTACTAGGGGTGGAGGGGTGAGAGGACTGGGCCAGGGCGGGTGTGGGGGGTGGGGGGTGGGTAACACAATGATCTTAGAAAAGGAGGCATTTAACTCCTCCTCAAAGCAAACTTAAATAAGCCTGATTAGATCTAGCCAGGCTGCAAAGTGATTAGGAGGAAGCTGAGAAACAACCAAGAGAATATGGAGGAAGTTCGTAAATTGGATTACATTTAAAAATTCAATTAGTGATAGATGCAGAATAGTTTCCTTTCATGAGTATTAACTCTCAGCCAAGAGGCTGGTGTTTCGCTGATAGCACAGAAAGTGAGTCATGCAGCACTGGCTCAGCCAGGCAGGGACAAATGTCACCCACTCACTTTGATGGACTCACCCCATGCATAGAAATATGCAGACAGATATTGATTTTTTAAGAGCTCTACCATTACTCATTGTTCTTGACAACTTGTTTTCCTTCTTTGGTATACCTTTGTTGTTACTGCTTCTGCTGTATCTAAACTGAACTCTCAAGGGGTCTCACACATGTTAAAGGAGTGTCTCAGAGGTAGAAAGGGAATCGCCAACAGACTCCACTGGACACTCTGCTGGAATATTGCCTCTCCCAGGTTTCAAGAGCCCTGCCCAAGTTTATGTATTAAGTGGGTTCAGGATGAGAACTCTGGGGAGGTCAAGAGATATCTACAGAAAGTACAAATGTGGTCATCAGATCCAGCAATTTAAAAAAAAAGTGCACACTTTTAAAGTAGAGGGTCATCTATAAACTTTCTAAGAGGCTGGTTATTGTCTGGGAACCCTATAAAGAAAACATCAGGCCACAAAGAAGAGGACTAGCATAGGCTGGTGAGGGCAGAGGTAAGAGCTGGCTGGTTCCAGGCCCTGTACCCAACCAGCTTTGGAAGACAGAAGATGGAATAGAAGCAAGAGCAGGCATGTGCACGAGGGAAGCTGATGAGGGTGGGGGGTTGGGTGATGCCGTGGCAGAGGCCTCCCTACAAAGTTAAAGATGACTCTACCTGTTCAGCTGGGAGATCAAACCTGTCTGTGGTCCATCTTTCCTGGTCTGAGCTGGTTCAGAGAGAATCATCTCCCTACTGTCAACTCTGTAGTCTCTCTTCATGGTGGATCTCACAAACTGACAAGCTGAACATAATGAGAACAATAGATAATATTTTGAAAAAAAATTGGGCCTTGTTTTGGCAAGTGAGTTGCTTAAACCCATTCCAGATAGACTTACAAGGGGGCCTACTAAATATAGGTTAGAAGCAAAGACCCCAAGAATATGAATGATGGGCATGAGAACTATTCCATAAGAAGTAGAATAAAAAGCAAATGAAGGTATTCTATCACCTATGGCTGGGAAAAATACCAAAAAATGTTTCACTGAAAAAGGTGGCTCTCCCAGTTTAAGCCAGCTGGTCTACCCATGTCGTGCTCATGATCATAGGAGATGATCACCTATGGAGGTGAATCATTTAGCCCTCTTGGTGGGAAAATAAGCCCAGTATGCTTCACTCCCCTCAGGTCTCCTTGCCTAGGCATGTGTACAAAATTCCTCTCGGACCTTTGCCACAGGTTCTTGTCTGCTTTTCTCATGTGGATATTTTTATCTTGGTAAAGTTTAGGGCAAGTGTATCAAGATTTTAATGAATAAGATTTGGATAAGATCCATATACTAGTAGGTATTCAATTCATACTCTATTTCATTCAGGCATTCATCAATTCATTCATTCAACAAACATCAAGCACCTACTGTATGCCATATTCTGGAGACCTACAGATAAGTAAGACTTGACTCTAAAGGTACATCAATGATGAGAGCACAGTGGAACACTAGATACAACAGAGGTAAGTTAGCACAGGATGCCATGACATCAAAAGGGGAAGCATGGGGACATGCAATTCCACCTGGAGAAAGGGGTCAGGAAACTCTTCCAAGAAAAGATGATCCTTGAGCTAAGGATTGAAGGATGAGTACAGGTTAGCCAGGGAAATGAGAGAAGAAACTTCCACAAAAAAACCAAGATTGCCAAGGCCTACATCAAACTGACAAGGGTTTGCACAGCAAAGGAAACCATCAACGAAATGAAGACAACCCACTGAAAGGAAGAACACATTTGCCAATGATACAACTGATAAGGGGTTAATATCCAAATTTATAAAGAACTCAAGCAACTCAATATCAAGAAAACAAACAATCCCATTAAAAATGGGCCAAGGACCTAAAAAGACAGATGGCCAACAGACATATGAAAAGATGTCATTAATCATCAGAGAAATGCAAATTAAAACCACAAGATATCACCTCACACCTGCCAGCATGGCTATACTACGCTGCGTTAAAAAAGAAGGAACTCTTACCATTTGCAACAGAATGGATGGACCTGGAGAGCACTATGCTAAGTGAAATAAGCCAGTCAGAGAAAGACAAGTACCATATGATTTCACTCATAGGTAGAATCTAATGAACAAAATTAACTAACAAACAAAATGGAAACTCATAAATAGAGAAGACTGGCAGCTGTCAGAGGGGAGCGGGGTGTGGCGCTGGCTGAAAAAGGTGAAGGATTAAGCAAAAAACAAAACAAACAAACAAAAAAACACCAAACCCACCAATAAACACAACTTGCAGATACAGACAACAGTGTGGTGATTACCAGAGGGAAAGGAGGATGAGGGAAGATAGAAGAGAGTATGGGGGATAGGTGGTGATGGAAGGAAACTTGACTTGGGGTGATGAAAACACAATATGCAATATAATATAGAATTGTACACTTGAAACCTATGTAATTTTATTAACCAATGTTACCCCCAAAAAATTAATAAAAATATTTTTTAAAAGAAAAAAAAAAGAGCCCTCAGGAGATTCAGTGATGTGATTTTCAGCTTTCACCTTCTAGTATAGGATTCAATTTTCTTTGATCTAATACATTGTTTATTACTTAAAAAAAAAAAAAAAGATTGGCAAAGCCACCGAGGTGTGATCCCATGGCTCATTTAGAAACCTGCGAGTGGTTTGGTATGACTAAGGCTGGAGGTTTTGGCAGGACCCAGATCTTGAAGGACCTTCTAGGTCATGCTAAGCTACTGAAACTACTTCCAATGGAATGGAAAACCACTGGAAGATAAAAAACTGGAAAGTGGCATGATAAAAGAATGATTCTGGCAGCTGAGCGAGCAGGGCGACAATTTAGTAGGTTTTCAGGCAATTTGCTTTTTTTGGGCTGAATTATTATTTTTGAGTTTTATCCATGTTGATACATGTACCCTGAGTTCATTCACTTTTATTAATTTCGTGAATATTCATTCATTTATGGACTTAAATGCACTGCATTTTTTCCCCTCTATTTTTCGGTTGGTGGACATTCAGGTTGTGATTTTTAAGTTTTTGTTTTTTAAAATCAAAGCTATAATAAATGTAATGTGTCTCCCTTATTACAAAAGCAAGAGCCTCTCTCAGAGTGGAGCTGCTGGTTTGTGAGGGGAGCCCACCTTCAACTTAATAGAATGCCAACTTGCTCTCCACTGTGGACATAACAATATGGACTCCCATCAGTCGTGCATGAGTGTCACCGTTTTCTGGGGGTTATTTTTCAGACTTTTACATTTTCTTCCATTTGATGGGTTACAGTTTTTGTTGATACACCCCTGATTACTTATAACTTTGAGTATTTTTAAATACATTTTCTTAAATCCTCACCTGAGGATATTTTCCCATTGATTTTTAAGAGTGGAAGAGAGAGGGAACGAGAGAGAGAAACATCTAGGTGGGAGAAACACATGGATTGGTTGCCTCTTGCAGGAGCCCTGACCAGGCCCAGGGCCGGGGAGGAGCCTATAACCGAGGTCTGAGCCCTTGACCAGAATCGAAACCAGGATCCTTTGGTCCGCAGGCCGATGCTCTATCCACTGAGCCAAAAACAGCTAGGGCTTGAGTATTTTTAGATATTTATTGGCCATTTGGGGTTCTTTCTTACATAAACTGTTTCTTCATATCTTCTCCTCCTCTGACTCGTGTGTGTTAACTTTTCCATTGGGTTATTTACCTGTTTTCTTAATGATATATAGGATTTTAAAAAAGTATTCTGGTTACTAGTTCTTTATTGCAAATATCTTCTCATGGTCTGTGGCATGTCTTTACCTTTTTAATGATGCTTTGGTTGTATACATGATTTAAATTTTAACAGTCATTTTAAAAATCTTTCCAAGGATGAATCAACACAAATCATTTTTAGGTGTGTGTGCTGGAGGGGGGAATTATCAAAGGAAGTTGTTGCCAAGTGACCTTTCTTTCCCTGTAAAGTAAAAGGAGAAGTCAGCTCTCAAGAGATAGCTTCCTCCTTTAGCGAACATGTGTTGAGTCTACAATGAACACCTAGATCTGGGAGTTGGCCTGCATGGGATGGGGAGAGACGGGATGAGATGGAATTTCATACACAGAAATCCCTTATTAGAGCTTACCATTAGAGGACTAATATGGGCCATTCTCACAGCTAGCAAGAGGCAGAATCCTCACTAGAACTACGGATCCCAGGTCCAGCATGCTGTTCCACAGGTAGTCAAGCATGTTGACATGTCTTCCTTTGATCATAAGATAGAGATCTGAGAGCAATGCAGAATAAAAACAGTAAGACGAGACAGAATGTCAATTACAACTAAAAAAAGCCCATAACCATTTAATCTAGGCTCACAAACTGTTAGAAGCAGATATTATAGTCACATTAATTTGTTTGTCTTATGAGACAGGGAAATATCCTCTTTTTTTTTTTTTTTTCAGATGAGACAGAAGAAGTAACATGACTACCCTAGCCACTTTACAAGTCATAGCAAAGAGAGTAAATGAACATGGGCTTTGTGTTCAATACTCTTCATAAGCCACAAGACAAATGGTCAAATAGATCTATATAAATTGTAGCCACTTTCTTGTCTCAGTTGCTTTTTATTCTTCCATTGACTGTTGGGTTGACTGGTTCTACTTCACTCTGCCTGTGGAGAAAGCATCAAATTAGGTAGCTAATCAGAAACAAACTAACAAATAAACAAAAAAACCAGAGATACACTGATTAAATTGCTCATAATCAAGCTATTACAATCCTATTTTTTCTGTATATATATATCCTTACCAGCAAACACACATGTCAACTGCCTAGAAAGAGAGACACTGTTAATTAGGATCAATCAAAAGTTCTCCCCACCAAGAAAATGCTTCAAGACATTAACGCCTTGCATCTCACTACAGTAAGAACCTACGAAGAAACTGGTATCAGGTGCCCATGTGTCAGAGAAATATAACAAATTACAAGAAATCTTTAGAATATTCTCCAAAGTCAAATACAATGTTCACTGCTATCAAAAGTTGGCTTCTCCCATGTTTTCAATTCTACTAGTGCCAGGCACACCTTGCCAAGTGTTGAAGATGCAACGAAGAACAAGATGTCATCCCAGCCCTATGGATATAATGCCTAGAGGAACTCTGTTCTAAACCCCAATAGTCCAGGGTGCTCTTACTAGATGTAAAAATACTGAAGGAGAGAGAAGCAAGGTGTCCCGCCTGTGAATGCTGGTGAGCAGTATCAATGTTTAATTGGAACTGGGCCGCCGTTAAAGATATTCTTTCAGACAGGGAAGTGGGAAAAAGAATGAGAGGCCAACCAGTAAGGCGAGCGAGAGCAGGGCAGGTTTGGACACGGAGTATGTATGTGCTCAGCGCTCAGGCCGAAAAGCAGACTGTGGCCATGCCATTAATGGCCTTATATGGTGGGCTAACAAGGTGAGATTTTTTTTTTTAATTTTTACTTATTTTTTATTTTATTTATTTTTTACAGAGAGGAAGGGAGAGGGATAGAGAGTTAGCAACATTGATGAGAGAGAAACATCGATCAGCTGCCTCCTGCACACTCCCTACTGGGGATGTGCCCGCAACCAAGGTACATGTCCTTGACCGGAATAGAACCTGGTACCCTTGAGTCGACAGGCTGATGCTCTATCCACTGAGCCAAACCGGTTAGGGCACAAGTTGAGATTTTTAACAGGTAGGTGTAGTAGGCATATTTCATGTTTCCAGAAGACCAATTTGGCAGCCACATGTAGAAGATGCATCTTTGAAAAGGAATCCCTTTCTTAATCTATTCAATGCATCAAGCAGGTGAGAATTGATGACAGCCAGTTTGCAGCAGGGGGAAGAGGGAATACATCCATCCAGAAGACTCTGAGGTGGTAGAGTTAGTCAAATGGCTACAGTATAAGGGGGAAAGTGATTCCTGAAGCTGAAATGGGCAGAAAGTGCCTCAGAGTCACAGAATACAAAAGGCAACAAAGTCAGGCAGAAATATAAATTCTAGAACTTCTAATAGCTGATTATGCATTTCCTTCCTGCAATTAGGCTATTTTCAGAAAATATGATTTATTTCTCTTTAAAAATACATAAAATGCACTCTAATGGCTTTTGATGTGTTGGAATAAATAATCACCAAGTTGTGCCAAAAATTTTTGGAGCATTCTTCAACAGAGGAAATGCTTAGTCTTTGCACCTGAGATGCTCATGCCTCAGCGAGCTCTCCACCATAAAATATATATGTATGTATATATCAGAAATCAATTTGAAACAAGCATGATATCATCTGCAGGAAGTGCAGAGGTATTTTTCCATTAGCTTTTAATGCGAGGAAAACAAGATTGAGAAGGTGACATTGTTTCAGAGTTTCTAATATGGGTAGCTTCTGCAAGACAGGCAGCGTCAGAGATGCCAAAAATAGGGGATGCTGTGGTACCCTGCCCAGATTCCCCTCTGCGGACGGAGGTTCTCATTCTCCTAGACATAGGGAGTGTTGGTGGCTGGCAGTTTGCCCCTTCACAAGGGCAGCCTGCATCTATTGGCTGATCATTTGGGGCTGGGTATGAAGCCCTGGCTCCCTTAACTTAAGGGGGTGGGGGAGGGGAGCATGTCAGAAGGGCCACCCAGCTCCACAGCTCCTAGAGGATTGACTGAGGCCTCTTCTGCATATGCATCGAAGCAGCTTCTCCCCCTGTCCAGTGCTGTTCTGTCACCTCTCACCGGTGATGTTCCCAAGGGCATTACCCAACAAACCTCGTGCACAGAAATCTCAGAGTACTTTTCCTTGGAACCCCAACCTATGACATGTAGCAGGCCCACAAACAGTCTCTCATGAGCACTACTTAGGGAGAATGAGGCTGTTGCTATAAAAATCCATATTAAAGGTAGTGGGGCCTTGAACACAATGAGCCACACTTCACACAAGTGACCTAAAGGACTATGGATAAAAGAATCAGAGCAAGCACAAACAACAACAACAAAAAACTGAGTATGTTAAAAGCAAGAATAGGAGTTGAGTACAGGTGACTATCAGTTCTTCATTTCTTGGATCCTATAAACCATTGTTTTTTGGCTGTTTGTTTTCCCCTGTCTACTGCTCCACAAAGCTGCATGGCAATGTTCCTCCACTCAAGCTCCATCTCTGAGGGGGGGGTGGGGGGGTGGCGTTTGGAATCAGACATCAAAAGATGCCTGTGTCCCCACTGCCACCTAATGGGTTCTTTGGGCATTAAGGTCTCCATTCTGTAATTGTTTTTTTTGTTTTCAACTGCTGACACTGGAAGCAATAAAATGGCTAAATGTGACTATATCAAACTGTGGGCCAACAGTCTTAATGGGGCAAAACTCTGGGTCTCATTTTGGTTTCTCTTTAAATTTGGGAACATATATCCCCTACCACCTGTTGTTTGATGTAAGTATCCTTAAAAAAAAAGTGTTCTATTTACTGTACAATAAGAGTGATGTGGAATGTTCTAGGCTTTTTCTGCAATAAACTTTCTAGGATAAATAAACTGGTGACATAAACATCTGGAAACATCCAGATACAGAAGGTACTTTCAGGGACTGTGATATGGATGAATCCAATTAACTCCAGGTTTAAAAGACCATCTTAAGCCCGGCTGGTGTGGCTCAGTGGTTGAGCATTGACCTATAAACCAGAAGGTCACAGTTCAATTCCCAGTTAGGGCTCATGCCCGGGGTTGCAGGCTCGATCCCCAGCGTGGGGTGTGTAGGAGGCAGCAGATCCATGACTCTCTTTCCTCATTGATATTTCTATCTCTCTCTCCCTTCCTCTCTGAAATCAATAAAAATATTTTTTAAAAATAAAAGATCATCTTAAGACTACCACCGGAGGCTATTATATGAGAAAGCCAAACAGGGCCAAAAAAATGAAAAAAGCTCTGGTTACCACATCAGAGGGCAAGGGCCACTGGAGTCTCTCCTGTATGTGGGGAAGTCAAAGTAATTCTTTCTCATGCTTTCCTTCCTGGCCTTCAAAGAGATCCTGTGACTGCTTCGGCCTCCACTGCCCACATCTTCCTGCTAAGCCGTGACCCATCTGGCTTCTTACAGCCTTTTGTTTCTGACAACCACACATAGGCTTTTATAATCTTCCATATTACTTCTGAGTTGTTAAGCTACAGCTAGCTCAGGGGTGGGCAAACTTTCTGACTCGAGGGCCACAATGGATTCTTAAACTGGACCAGAGGGCCGGAACAAAAGCATGGATGGAGTGTTTGTGTGAACTAATATAAATTCAAAATAAACATCATTACATAAAAGAGTACGGTCTTTTTTTCAATAGTTTTATTCATTTCAAATGGGCCGGATCTGGCCCGCGGGCCATAGTTTGCCCACGGCTGAGCTAGCTCCTAGTTCCCCTTAACCATCTGCTGCTTTACCCCATCATTCTCCAAACATACAACGGCTCTCAAAACTATTCTAGCTAGTCTATGAACACTTTTCTCCACCTTTTTGAAACATACAGAAAAGTGGAAAGACTAGTACAATGAACACATATATGCTTCCACGATGATTGTTAACATTTTGCCACGTTTTATTTTCTCCAAACAAATATATATTCATACGCATGTGAATTTTGTACAACTTTATATAATTTTTTTGCTGAACCATCTGAAGGTATGTTACAGGTGTTATAGAACTTCATCCCTAAATACCTAAATAGGACATTGTAAGTAACCTATGTAAATTTCACAGCTAATAAAATTAAAAATTCAGTATCATCTAATATCTAGTTCATATTCAAATTTCCTAAAGTGTCCTCAAAGTTTCTTTTATAGTTTTGTTTTTCCAAGATGAGACTCACCAAGCTTTACCCATTGCACTTCATTGATATGTCTTTTGTCTCAATCTAGAACAGTCTTCCACTATTACTAATAATATTAACTTGAAGAATTTAGGTCAGTTTTCTTATGGAATGTCCCACATTCTGGACCTGCCCGAGTTTTCCCTCAGGGTTATTTTACTTGTTCCTCTACCCCTGTAAACTGGCAGTTGGGTCAAAAGGCTTGATGGTATTCAGGTTAAGTATTTTGGGCAAGGCTTTGTGATAAGTGAAGTTGTTACGTAACGTTGCATCAAACCAAGAGGCATTTAAAGTCAGGTTGTTCCACCATTAGTGGTGGTAAGTATGATCACTAGGTTAAGCTGGTGGCTTGAATTTCTTCATTATATGGTGTATATTCCCCTTTGTAACTACTAAGTACTCTGAGGGGGGTGATACTGACACTGTGTAAACATCTTCCTTTTCCCTATCTCCTTTTACAAGATGGGTTTTAGCTTCTATGGCTAACCTATGCCTAAATCACTGGGGATTGCACATGGTGATTTTTCCAATTCTATTGTTCCATTTACATTTATTGCCTGGCACTCCTCCAGAAAGAAAAAAAAAGCCCTCCCCCGACCTTTGATTTTGATTATCACTTTGAACTTATGGATTCTAAAAATATATTCAATGCTTTGATAATATATGGCACTCGTTATGCTTTGAAGACTCATTGATTCACATCTGGCTAACGGAGTCCCCTCAAGCTGGTCGGTGAACTTTTGACTTGATCCTATTAGTTTGGGGGCCCTTCCTTGCTTTCTGGCAAGATGTTCCAGGCTCACTTTTGTACTTTCTGGGCCTGAGACCTGAAATCAACCACTTCTTGGAGAAATGCTGTTTCTTCTGTGGGCAATGGTATCTAGACATCAAGCTATTTGGGCACTCTCCGCTGGGTAACATTACATCATATATGTCATTAGAGGGCTTCCCCCCAAAAACTCTTTATTTTCTATTTTTCTTTCCTCTTAAGAGTTTTAACTAGCATACCTATATTATATACTTTATCTATACTAGACATGAAAGTTTCAAAATTACATGATCAATAGTACTATTGGCAATACATCTGTGACGTGTTTGTTTTTGTTCTTTTTGCCCTCAGAATATACCCCACAAAGAACGTATGTAAAAGTACTGCTAAACACCACCTTCCTATAGGGTCTAAAGAACCGCGAATGACCCTGCCATTTCTGATCCTTCTAAAGCTTCTGATCATAGTCTTCTCCGAGCTGGAAGAATCCTTGCTGTCTGTTTCCAGTGGCAGTTTTCTGTTCGCTAGCGCTACACCTAAAACAGAATAGCTGGGGATGCGTATCCTGACACTGGCAAGGCAATGCAGACTTGTGTGAACAAAGCAGGGATGCTCTCACTGATGAGCACCTGCATTGGTCAGCACCCATTTAAGGTTGTTTTTCCCTCAACCTCAAGTGAATGATGCCCTGTAAGTCATCCAAGGATATGTTTTCAAGGCACTGTACCCCCCCAATACTCAGTAAGCACAAAAAGCCAGTAGCTTGCCCTGCAGCAAACCCCCATCCAAACATTCAAAATACCTATTATGATTGAGGGCAAGGAGCATAAGCAATGATCACTGTGTACACATCTCTAATTCATCTCCTCAGGCATTTGTTGAGGGAACAAAAAAATGTGGGCAAACCTGAGGCTACGCTTAGTCAGAAGGAATACAACATGGACGCCAACAGCAGACGCCAACTTTTCGGACCTTGCGGACCACTAGTGGTCCACAGACCACCAGTTGGCGACCACTGACGTTGACTATATTAGTTTATTGTGCCCTGCAGTAGACTGGCACATTTCCAAAGGCAACTGCTATAGTTTAATTTTAGCAGTTTAAGTGTTTTCTTTGAAAGATAGGTAAAAGTGAAATAGTATATTCTAATGACAACTTTGGAGTCTTTTTTACTACTGACTTTCACTAAAATAAATACTAGGTTTAAAGAACTAGAGATTTTAGATTGCTCTTTTTGAAGAATAAACATGACTAAATTTGAATGAGAATTTTTTAAAATATATTTGTATTGATTTCAGAGAGGGAGAGGGAGACAGAAATATAAACATAAATTATGAAAAAGAATCATTGATCAGCTGTCTCCTGCACACCCCACACTGGGGATTGAGCCTGCAACCCAGGCATGTGCCCTGGTCAGGAATCAAACTGCTTCGATCCTGTACCCTGACCGGAATCAAACCCTGACCTCCTGGTTCATAAGTCGACACTCAACCACTGAGCCATGCTGGCGAGGTTGAAAGAGAATGTTTTAAAAATCAGACACTGAAAGTAGATTTTGATACTTCAAAGGAAGTGGGAAGACAGAACACCTATTTGAAGTAATACTCTTAAATCAGTTTATATTTGTTCGTTTTGTCTTGTTTTTTGCTCGTTTTGTCTTTAATAGCACATAGAATCATGTCATTAATAGCACATAGAATCACTGTGAAAATTAAATGAATACGTGTAAAAATGGCACCGTGTATACAACTGTTACCATTTCCTTGTGAGGAACTAAACTTTAAGATAGCTTCCCCTCCGCCCCCCTCCAATATAACCTATGTTGCACAGAGGGAGAGACTAAAAGCAATCCTGAAAACAAAAACTATCCAGAAGAGAAAGAAATCTATACTGGAGCTTATAACAAATATTTTCATATTTTTTCATCTAGAAGATTAGTGAAGAGTTGTTACTTGAGAGATTTTTACACAACTGCAACGTTTATTTTATATTCAAGAAAGAGCCTTCTGGCATTAATTTTAATAATACACAATTAGAATAAGAGCAGTTGTTAAAAACTACACTGTATTTTAAACAAACTTCTACTATATATTAAGGAAAAGTTCATCCTTTCTGGTTTGTCTTCCTGGTTAAAGCTAGCTGCATGCTGCTGCCCCCTGCAGCATGTCCAGTTCCTGCAAACTGCCACTCCAGTCACCACAAATTGCCATCTCTGTAGATTATGACTCAATGAGGGATATGTGTGTGTATGTAGAGAAGAAAAGGGAAGATCTCTTCAAAACAAACTACCAAACCCCCAAGAGAACACTAAGGCAATGGTGCCACAGACCAAAAGAGGTAACCCACCTGGGAAGAGGGCCTTAAGGTTCTAGCAACAGACCCCAACCTCCCAGACAAAGTTCTTTCCTGGCTTTTTTGTGTCACCGGTCTTTATCTTTTTTTTTTTTTTTAATAGCTAGTTTAACTGGAAAAAAGTTACATATGTATAGAAAAAAAGGGTAAAGAGTAAAAGGGGTAATCAGTGAAAACATCTGGCTTTCGCTCCAATCTCCTGTAACCATTCAGAAGTAACATGGTATATACCATTAGAAACACAACCGCTTCAAACACATTCCCTATTTTGTCGGTAACCCTCACCTGAGGATATTTTCCATTGTTAACCCTCACTCGGGAATCTTTTGCTATTAATTTTTGGAGAGTGGAAGGGAAAGGAGAGACACAGAGAGAAACATCCATGTGAGAGAGAGACACTGATTTATTTGTTGCCTCCCCCTCGTCCCGGAAAGGCCAGGGACCGAGCCTGACACCAGGGCACACGCGCCTTCGATGGGTATGGAACCCGCGACCCTTCAGTCTGCAGACTGATGCTCTATCCATTGAGCCAAACTGGCTAGGGCCACATTTCTTCAAAAAAAAACACAAAACAAAACACCAAAAAACATTTTTATTGATTTCAGAGAGGAAGGGAGAGGGAGGGAGAGAGAGAAATATCAATGAGAATCATTGATTAGCTGCCTCCTGCACTCCCCACACTAGGGATCAAGCCCACAACCCGGCAGGTGCCCTGACCCTCCTGGTTCACAGGTCGACACTCAACTAAAGAGCCACGCGGGTGGGACAGGCCATTCCTTTTTAAACATAAATCAAAGCGGTCACACCACCGTTTACCACAAGACTAAACTTGGAGACTGTTCTCTACCAAGCGAGACAGAACCTATATAATGAATTTAAAACACATCTGTTCTAACAAAATAGGTTTAAAATAAATACATCTCCAATAGGTTCGGCCTCAATTTAGTTTTTTGTGGTTACGACTTAGGTTTTCATGATTATAAAAAGCGGTGGTTCTCAAACTTGAAAGGACGACCACACTTGGAGAACCAACTGCTAGTGCGATCGCTGCATTAAACCCCATTGCTTCCATCCCCTAGCGCTGCTCGCCGCAGGCGGTACGCGCCATGAATTCCCAGGGAACCTCAAGCAGGACGCCGACACCCAGTCCCAAAATAAGCCCACGACGCCCCGACGCCCAGCCGGAACTGGAAGCACGAACCTGCACTCGGCGCCAGGCGCCGTCCAGCGACGCAATTTCCGTCCCATTAAACCCCGCCCACTCTGCGTCCCTAACGCAAGTAAGGGCTGGCGGCCTATTGGGCGTTGCGAGTCACGTGACTCGAGCGGCGTCTCGCGATGGCTTTCAACTCTCGCGAAATTTCTCCCGCCTCTGTCTTTCCTCCTCCCAGTGCCGGGCTTCCCTCCCCTCCCCCTTACCGCCGACCGAGTTCTTTTCAGAGTCGCCGCCTTGGTGTCGCCGGGGAGATTTTTCTTGCGGCTACTGTTGCCGCAACCACCCCTGGGCTTATTGGCCCCGACCCCTTCCCGCCGCCCCGACCCCAACCCCACACAAGGTAACAAACCCGGTGAGGGAAGGAGTGAGGCCTCGCCGGGCCGCGGCCTCTCCCGAGTGGAAGGGAGGCCCCAGGCCGAGCAGCCGGCCGCGCCGGAGAGGCCTGGCCGCCGGCCACAGTGTCGGGAGCCCCGGCCTCCTCTCCCACCCAGCGTTGGGCCCTGAGCGGCGCCGGCGCGGTCGGGGCCTCCGGGCCGCGGCGGCGAACGTGGCTAAACCGGGGAACCCGTCGGGTGGGGCTGGGACCGCGGGAGGCTTCTTGAAGGGCGACCGGGGCCGTTTCCGGCGGAGCCTGTTGGGGGTGTGGGGTCCCGGCCCCGCGGGCGTCCGCTCGGCGTCCCTGGAAGCTGATGTTTGAATTACTTGGAGGTCTGAGATGAACGGCCGCGTTGTGGCGGGCTTTGGGGTGGCGGGTGGATGGGAGGCGAGCAGCCCGCCCTGCCCTCACCCCTGGGAGCCCTTCCAGATCCCAGCCTGTCGTTGACGGGAGCTGAGACCGAGGGCCCCGAAGCCCCGGGCGTGCGCTCGCACCTTACTTCCAGGAGGAGGAGGAGGATTTGCGGGAAGGCTCGTCCCGGAATGCCCAGATGGGAGTGTGTGTGCTGTTCCCTGCCCGGAAGGAAACAAGCCGGCATTATTGACGTGACTGGGCGGAAGACTTCTGCTCGGAGAAGAGCTTCTAGACACACTTATTAATAGAGTAGCTCATGTAAAGAGAGTTATTTGTGTAGTTAATCCAAAAGCCATTTACATTTGGCTTTGGAAGTATGCTTTAGTGCTTGTAGTAAATATATTTTTAGAAGTCTTCACTCCAACAGAGTAATGTCTTTTGAGAGGGGAGGCCAGTGACGATCTAATAATCCTTTTAAGTGAACCGACTGCAGTGCTTTCCTTATTACAGGAATTTAAAGAAAATTAGAATTTCTCTAGTCCCCACATCAGCTTTTCTCTGAAACTAAGAGTAGAGGTGATGGTGATAAACTAAGCTGCAGTGAATTGCAATGAGTTGGGAGCGGCATTGGCAAGGTTAATTCAGGCAGACAGGGGCTTTTTTTTTTTAAGTTTGTGGGCTTTTTTTGTTGTTAATCCTCACCCGAGGATATTTTTCTGTCTTTTTTTTTTTTTTTGGTTAATCTTTACCCGTGGATATTTTTCCATTGATTGTTTTTTTTCAGAGATAGAGTGGAAGGAAAGGGGAGACAGAGAGAAACATCGATGTGAGAGAGACACATCCATTGGTTGCCTCCCCCAAGTGCTGGGGATCAGGGCCTGCAGCCTTGACTGCCCTCGAACCCGGAACCCGTCAGTCTGTGGACGGAGGCGCTACCCACGGAGCAGAACTGGCTAGGGCAATGTTTGTGTGTTTTTGTTGTTCAGTTTTCATGGCCTTGCCCTTTTCCCCTCCAGATGTCAGAGGATCTAGCAAAACAGCTGGCAAGCTACAAAGCTCAGCTCCAGCAAGTTGAAGCTGCCCTGTCTGGAAATGGAGAAAATGAAGATTTGCTAAAATTAAAAAAAGATTTACAAGTAAGTATGAGGGGACACTTACTGCTACATTATTCAAAAAGGGTAGTTCTGTCTTTTTCAAATGATTTCTTGCTTAGAACTGTAGGTGTCCAAGGCACCCATGGAGGTGGTGTTTACCCTTTCCCCTTGTGTATGTTCGCATTGGCATCCGTGGCTGTAAAAGTCGGGTGGTTTCCTCAGTTTGCATACATCAAAACGAGTGAAGCATTGTCCTTTGTTATGTAAATCTTGTGTGTTCATTTAATAATAAGTTGATTTTAGAAGTCTCAGATTTACTAGAGAAGAGGGATATATAATTTACAGTGGAAAGTACTTTTACATTTAAAGACCTGGCAAAGGAAGTTTAGTTCAAAAAGTAACTAAAATTAAAGGAGAAAGATAAAACCTGATTAAAATACTTTTTAATGCCACAAGTCTTTGAAAATGAGAGTGTGTGTGTGTATCAAAGCTAGCAGGTAACACTTTGTATTGAAAGCACATTATAAAAACATAAAAGATACTTGTTTTCTTCATAAATGTTACTTCATGTTTGAACTTAAAGGGTAGGTTTTTCAGTGTAGTTGTTGACACTTGTTGAAGTTAAATTGAATCTAGGTGAAATGGATCCTAACTTGTTTTGTTTGTCATGGGAGAGTTCAGTATGTATGAAACCTGCTTTTAAAATCCTGTCCTGGGCAGGGGTTGTCTCAAAACAAATGACGTTATATAGTAAATATCTATTATTTCTCAGAACACTAGGTTGATTAATAAAAACTCCACATAAAAGATTTGCAAATATATATGACTTCCATCTTAACAAATTTGAGACTTAGTTTCGAACCTCATGTTTTGGAAAGTTTTAAAAGGTGTTTTGATTAGATGCTCTTTCTTTACTGATTCAGTACAGAACTTGAATCATCTTTGTCTTATCTAAGTAATTCTTTCCCTCTCTGTATCATCTTTTGCCTTTTAAAGTTACTAATATTTTAGAAATATTGGAACTGCAAACAAATGAAAATTATTTGACATGAAGTCCAGATTCAGGATTCTGAAAGAGCTAATGTGGGCATAATTAAGATGTTGAATATTTTCACGTTCAAATTCTAGATTTAGGATAAACTCTAATGAAGTTGCTGTGATGGTATTTGTTTGATTGTTTCTAATCTTCACCTGAGGATATCTTTTTCCATTGATTTCTAGAGAAAGTGGAAGGAAGGGAGGAAAGAGAAGCATCATGTGAGAGAGATGAATTGATTGGTTGCCTCCTGCACAAGCTCCTACCGGAGCAGGGGAACCTGCAACCTGGGTATGTTCCCTTGACCGGGAACAGAACCTGAGACACTGCAGTCCCCAGGTTGACTCTAATCACTGAGCAAAAATTGCCTGGTATGTTATTTTTTAAAAACACAGAAAACAGGACCCTTTTTAAATTTGTAGAAGTCAGGCCAATAGATTTTAGTGTGCTAGTCAATAAGGAAGAAACGTTTGCAGAGCAATCTTTCCCACTCCCAGACCAACTTCTTGCCTCAAGGGAAGATCCTGGCACGCCCCATCTTTCACCAATTTAAAAGCAGTCCTTTTTTTTTAAAGAAATAAAAAAAGAAACATTGTGTGCAAGGTTGTATATATTGCCTCCTGGGCAGTGGGAGAAAGGGTCTGTGTGGAACTGACCAAGGGGAACTTGGGGGTGAAGGTTGAAACAGCATGATTATGAGGTCTTTTTAATATTTCTAGAATACATTGTCAGAGCTTGGACAGAATTGCCTTATACTGACATGATCTGTAGTGGAAGTTCTGATAGGCCTTGTAGTAAGAGCACAAATGCCCCGAGGGGCTCATTTATCTGTAAAATCACTTCTTTAACCATTAGAACAGCACTGTACAATAGAACTTTCTGAAATGATGAAAATGTTCTGTATCTGCTGTGCAATACTGGAGTCACTAGGCACATGTGGCTATTGAATGTTTAAAATATGGCTAAAAATCTGAATCTTTAATTTTAGGTAATGAAATAGCCTGTATGACTACCTTATTGGTTGGCACAGATTTAGAAGCTTAAGTTCTAACAGTTCAGGTAGCCATACAGAATGTTTTTCCTAATTAAACCTTATCACAGTTTCTTTTCCTCTTCGTCTATCATGAGGGAAAAAAATCATTTTGGTCACTAGATTTAGGTCTGTGTAAACTAAAAACTACTAAAAGGTGGAAGGCATCATTTAAGATTAGATAATATTCTGGTAAGTGTTTGGATATCTGCTTCTACCTATAATTGTTGTCTTTATTGATTAGTTACAGCTTCTATTTAGCATGGGTTTAAAATTCTTTTTTTTTCCCCTCTGCTTTCTGGGATATACCTCAGGTCATTGATACTTAACACATTAAGCGCCCAGTCAGTCACTGGTGACTAACACTATACCTACCATCCGGAAGACAAAACAGGATGGGCGCTTAACATGTTTCATACTGCCCTTTATGTTTGCTGAAAGGTCTGGTCAAACCGAGTTTGTGGCCTTCTTTGTTTTCTTGTGTTTCTCTTATGGAATGTCTTATTCTGGTTATGAATTTGCCCTTTCACTTATGACAATCTCTCTTTCTGCATTTTATCAATGACTTCCATTTTGCCAGTAGGCTTCCATTTTTATCTCTTTATATACTGTCTTTCCTATAGAATAAAGTTACTCAGCAGGCAGCAAATTGATCTACTGAAGTTGTAGTTGCCTTTCTTTTTTCACTTAAAAAAGTGGGTATAGTAAAATCCAGGCTAGCTAGCTGACTAGCTCCCCAGGCAGTCTATGATAATCACAAAAATAGTCAATTTATTAAGCTGTTTTGCTGAATAAAACTGGTTCTAAAGGAGGCAGGGGTCAAGTCACTTGTCTCATATATTACAGTGGCTCTCTGCATCCCCGAAACGCCTTCCTTCAGTAAGCAGAGTGCTTGAGTGCATCCCCTTTGACCTGCTGATATGTAGATCACAACATCTGATGCTTCCTGGAATTGCCGATTACTGTAACTGCTGCCCATCTGTCAATGAAGGAGCAGTTTCAGAACTCAGACTTGGGGGAGGAAAAGTAATTAATGGTATGTACCTTTAAGAACCCCCTCATACATAAAATAGTTTCTCTCTAATAATTTGGTCAGTATGCACATGTGAAGGAAAAAATTTAGAAGGGTCTTCATAGTTTGTTGGGTGAGGTATGTAAAATATGGC